CAGGTGACTCAGGGAAACTGTCTCAAAATCAAAATAAAGTAAAAAGAAGGATCGGGGCTATAGGTTAGAGTAGAGTGTTTGCCTCTCATGTTTGAGACTCTACATTCAATCCCCAGTACTAGAAAACAAAGGCTGAAGAAAAGAAGCCTAAAGGCAATGCTCAGTGGCAGCAGCCATATACACATTCGCTCAGAAAGAAAAGGGTCTTGCATGCTCACATGAGCCACCTGCCTTCCTGTAACTTCCTTGCATCTAGCTGTCTGCCATCGAGTGATGCCTCCCCCATTCAGAGTTTGTCCTGCCCCTCAGTCACTGTCCCACACATCAGTCTTTTCTGGAAAGATCCCCACAGACACAGGAAGGTGTGGTTCAAGAGCCCCAGACATCTCCTAATCCTGTCAAGTTAATCACCAAGATGAAGTGTTATGGGGCCCTTCCCCGCTAATGCTGCTTGTCACCCTAGTGCTCCTCACTTGGTGCTATAGGAGCCGACATGGCAGGATAGTTACTGCATAGCCAAACCTTCCAGTGGGCCTCACCCAGGCCTTCGGGGCTTCTTTACAGCATCCTCTCACATACCCCATATTCCAGGCTTTTAAAAACAAGCTCTGCACCCAGGGATCTCTGTTGCCTGTTTTCCCACCTGCACAGTGGCTCTTATGCAACATTAGTTTGATAGACCATTATAAATATTGTTAGATCGTGCATAGACAGTACTCAGCTTATTACCTGATCTCTAGAAAGTGTTCAAAAACCTCACACTATTGTTATTACCTTGTTAATCTAAGCACTAGGTAAGCACTATCAAAAGATACATATTCCGTCTCCATTTATTCTTTCACATATACCAGGCAGGTTTTGACTCCTACAGAATTGTCACAAACAGAAGGTTGAGGTCCCTATTGCTATACTCAGATGGAAATCGCTAATAGTCAAGAAGAAACTCCCTTATTGTTGACAGCTCTGAGCTCTTGAATATCAGAGACTTAAGGGCTGGGCTTCTGGAACCTGAGGTTCGTCACCTGGAAATTAGATGCTTATTACTTCAGGTTTTCAAAGCCAAGGACATAGAGCTCTAGGGGCTCAGGTTAGAGGATAACTGCTCTGGGATTTGGGTCTCCAAAGCCAGCATCCAGCAGCTACCTTTTTGAACTTCAGCTTCTAGGACCACTGCTCAGCTCCTGGTGGCTCTCTGAGGGACTTGCGGCCTTTGCTGTCATGGCTCTTCATATCCTATTTGCCTTTGACTTTCAGAGTCTCATCTTTTGCCACCTCAGCTCCTGTTTTCTCTTCCTGTGCAGTCTTTGGAGCTCACTTGCCACCTTTTCTCTGGAAGCCCTTGGTCTCTCTCTGTCTCTCTCTGTCTCTCTCTGTCTCTCTCTGTCTCTCTCTGTCTCTCTCTGTCTCTCTCTGTCTCTCTCTGTCTCTCTCTGTCTCTCTCTGTCTCTCTCTGTCTCTCTCTGTCTCTCTCTGTCTCTCTCTGTCTCTCTCTGTCTCTCTCTGTCTCTCTCTGTCTCTCTCTGTCTCTCTCTGTCTCTCTCTGTCTCTCTCTCTCTCTCTCTCTCAAGTTTCAGCCATCATAAAGACCACAAACAAGCCAAAGAATGCCTCGGAGAGAGCTCTGGTTTTAGTTCTTTTTGTTGCTTCAATAAAATACCATGATTAATTAAGGCAACGTATAATAGGAAGCGTTTATTTAGCTTACAGTTTCAGAAGAGCTAGGAGTCCATCGTGATGTGTGGGTGGTTGGGGTGGGGCATGATAGCAGGCAGTCATGGCAGCTGGAGCAGGAAGCTGAACACCCGCAATCATGAAGCTGAGACAAAGAGCAAGCTCTGGAAAGAGCAAAGCTTTTTACTCCCAGAGCCCACCCCCAGTGACATACTTCCTCCAGAAGGCCACACCTCCCCAAACAGCACCACTAGCTGGGGACTAAGTGTTCAAACATCTGAGCTCATGGAACACAGTCTCATACAAATAGGACCTAATATTGTAACACTGACGGGCAATGGAAGGGAAGCTTCCCAGACTGGCACAAAGAGCCTGAGAAACCACCAGCTTATATAGCCAGAAAAGCTTCATGAGAAGTTTGTGCATGGCTTCCAACTCTACAGCTAATACCCAGATTCCCAGGCGCATGCCTTTTAGCTCTTCTAATCACACACCTCGCTGGCTGACCACCCACAAGGCTTGTGCTGTCACTGGAATGGGAATGAAGAAGGTGCTCCTCTGAAAACATCTCCAAAGAGGGTCAGAGTCATATAGAAGATACCAGGCTTTGTCACGGCTGAAGGGAAGTCTCTCAGAGTTGGACCAGTTCTGACCGCAGCAAAGCCTCCTCAGACAGAAGTTGTTGCTTTAGCAGCAGCCATGGTGACAGCAGGTTTTAAGCTCAAATGGAATCCTTGAATTGTTCAAAGCTCTCAGGCAAGGGGGAGTGTCTGACAGCTGTCAATCATATATACGAGGGGCTCCTCCGTGACAGATCCAATCATTAAAGGAGAAAAATATCAAAGAGTAGCTGCTAAAGGCCTGTTACGGATTCAATATTGTGAACATTGCTTTATCCTCCAGGGATAAATTCTTTATTCTCCAGGGAGAATTGTGTTACTCTAATGTCTCAGAATCTAGACTCATGGACTATACTATGAGGTTACAACTCCACATGTTCTGGGGACATATCGAGCTATAAAAACATTGATCATACCTCTTACAGAGAAGACTCTATGGTCCTCTGTGATGAAGTTCTGTGGTAACTTTTCTTGTGAGATATCCCTTTAGAATCAAGTTGGAGTAAAAGTGCTCAGCATCTGCTAAAGGCATGCATCATGGTCCCCCGCTCACTTGGTTACATCCCAATTTTGCCTCATTTTGTTATTTTCTTCTTCGTTTTAGACTTCCTTGCTCATTGGATTGTGCTTTGCATATTCATGGGTTTGTGTTTATTGCTTCTTGTGTATTTTTAAAGTTATATTTTTAGTGTCTTTAGTTTGCAGTTGGTATATTGTAAGCCATTTAAAATGTCTTTGAAGAGGCTGGAGAGATGGCTCAGCATTTAAGACACTGATTGCTCTTCCAAAGGAACTGGGTTTGAGTCCCAGAACGACCATCTGAAACTCCAGTTCCAAGGGATCAACCAACCCTTTTCTGATTTCTGTGGGAACTGCACGTATGTAGTGTACAGTCATACATGAAGACAAAGCATCCATACACATAAAAAATCAACAGAAAAGAATCTCAAGAAAAGATTTTTAAATGTCTTAGGTGACCTAAATGTAGAGTGTTCTCTGTCTTACACACACACACACACACACACACACACACACACACACACACGGAAGATGAGTGTGGTTAAACTAAAGTGAGTGCTGTTAAACTAAAATGAATATCAAACGAAAATCATTAGGTTAGGTCACATTTATTGCCATTTATGTGGTGTGTAAATAATCTTTAAGGGAGTGTATACCTTGCCCTAATAATTTATAATTACTCCAAGATTAAAGACTAAGAGGCACTCTGGGTAATTTAATAACACCTGTCACTTCTTGAGGGCTCACCGTGTTCCCAGAAGAAGGGCAGGCATCAATGTCCCCCAGTTCTCACAGCATACATTTCTATCTTAAACAAGGGGAAACTGAAGCTCACAGAAAGTAAGTTTTCTTTGAATTCTGCAGCTGGTGAGTGAAGGACTCAAGACGTGAGTCTGGAATGTCAATTCTTCCCACCAGCTGTTCCGTGCATCATGCAACCTCATCTATAAAACTGGATTTGGCAATGACCGTGGAGTTCATTTTCTCCATACCAACTGTTGTGGTGACTTTAAAATATGTCCACAAACCCTTTGGTTTTTTTTTTCCTCTATGAGAGAGAGAGAGCTGAATTCTGTACTGTACTACCAATTCGAGCTTAGCAATTCACTTCAGCAAACAGAATATAAAGGATGCAGTGACTTTCAAGATTAGCCATGAGTGTGCCAGAACTTTCTTTTCTATGCTCTGTGGGGAGGTCAGCTGCCACATTATAAGGGCCCTCAGTGGTCTAGGGGTTGAGGCTGCCTGCAGACAGCCAGTGAGAAACCGTTGGTAGTTGTAGTGTGGATTTTCCAGCCTGGCTCAAGCTTACAGATGATGGTGGCAGACACAACAGGGCAGGTAAATGGCACTTTCTCTCTTCATCTGGCTGGTGTTCACTTTAGGGGGGGGGGGGGGGGGGGGGGGGGGGGGGGGGGGGGGGGGGGGAGAGTCCAATTAAAAGTCTGTCCTGGGGATTTAGGGATGGTTCAGCAGACAAAGTGCTTGCTGGGCAGGACCTTCTCAGGAAGCAGGGGCAGAGAGTCTATGTGTAGATCTGACTGGCTAATCAAAGAGCTCCAGGCTCAATGAGAGACTCTCCTTCCACATATAAAGTAGAGAGTGATCTGGAAGACAGCTGATGTCAGCTTTGGGCCTTTACATGTGAGAACACATAGATGTCCGTGCATCTACACACATATACCCACATACATAAACATGTGCATACCCCCACACATCTAAATAAATAAAAATCTTACCTACATCTATCTATCTATCTATCTATCTATCTATCTATCTATCTATCTATCTATCTATCCTGAGTGAACAAAGGCTTGCTTAATCTTGCTGAGGCCCTTGGTATTTGAGACAGATGACAGGGCTTGTCCCTGTGTGAAACTGTGTTATAAGATATCAAAGTGTTTGTTATCTCTCACTCAGCAGAATTTTCATAATTAATGGATTTTTTTAAAAAATGGTGTTTCTTCCAAAAATCATGGTTGTACCAAGCATTTGTCATCTCAGCTACTTGGGAAGGCTGAGGAAAAGGCTCACTTGTGCCTAGGAATTCAAGGTCAACTGAACAAAAGGAAATGATATTGTTGAAAAGATGGCCTTGATACACACACACACACACACACTTAATACATGCTAGATACCAGGTGCTAATCTAGGCTCTGGAGGTTCTTCAGTAAACATAATAGACCAGTCTCTGCCTTCATCAAGTTTATTCAAGAGAGGGAGACAGACAACAAGCAAACAAGAAAGGAACAATACAGGGGTCTGGAAAGACAGGGCAAATGTGGAGCTGGAGAGACAGCTCAGCTATGAAGAGAGTTTAGTGCTCTTGCAGAGGATCTGAGTTTGGTTCTCAGCCCCACATCAGACGGCTCACAACTTCCTGTGACTCCAGTTCCAGGGGACTCACCTCCTGGGCACCTGTGAAGATGAGGTGTACAAATCCACTCAGGTGTGCACATGGGCACACACACACACACACACACACACACACACACACACACACACACACACACACACACTAAGTAAACAAACGAAGGGCTAATGCAGTGGAGGGTTATCAAGGCAGTAGAAAGGGAGCAACGCAGCATGTTTGAAGGAAGGCAGGGTAGCACGGTTCTGGAGGGATCGTTTGAACAGAGGCAAATGCTGGAACATTCCAGGATATGGACAAGTGCTGTGGCAGGAGTTAGATGGCTGCCTGCAGGAAGAACAAAGGCACGTGAGGGTTTCTGTGTAAGGGCTCATGTGACAGATCACTGAGTTACAGATGTAAAGATTCAGGCGACAGGATGGCCTGACCCCTGTGACCTGGCAGAATGCATTCAGGCAGTACCCTGGTCAGCCTAGAGTTCCATGGCTGCTCCGTCACCACGTAGTCTGCATGTACTCCGTTCTCTTTCTTGCTGTTGCCCTGAAGGGGAAGATAGGACTTTTCCTGACTCCCTCTTCTCTTCTGTCCTCTCCCTGTCTCTCTGTCTCTTTACCTCTTGTCTCTTTCCTTTCCTCCTCCTTTCCCTTTCTAATAAAACTTCTCACTTAAGCTCTGTCTGCCTGGAATGTTTGTCTCTCGTCTGTCATGGAATTCACCAAGGTCCCCGGGGGCCATATTCCTAACAACAGAATTTTGGAAAAACCATCTCCATAGATCTGTTTGTGTACTTTTAGCCAGATACTAGTAAAAAAAAAATAGGTATCTTACCATGTCTGCTATTTGGCCTGGCTATTTCCAGAAAGCCAAATTGAGCATCTCCTGTCCTGCTCGGAGGAGGTCACCAGTTTATCTCAGAGGCTGGGAAAGGCTGCACCTGGTTTCTTTCTAGAAAATGAATATGAGAGTGTGTTCCCGTTTGCCCTGGACCTTTCCCCACATGTGTGGTGCTGTCTTCCCTGCTTCATCTTGCATGGACTTGCAATACCTGTGAACACTTAAGTTTTTAGTATTCACCACGGCAGATTTCGTCAGCTGGTAAATGCCTAGCAGATTCTTGGCACAGGGTGGTGGCTGTGCAGAAAGAGCCTGCCCTCGGTGTGTTCCCTCACATTCGGCGATGCAGCACACGGTTTAAAAAAACAAACAATCACAGATGTGTGATGCAAACTGCCCAGAGTGTGGCACCTCCTCTTAGGAAGATTTTGATGGAGGGGGCCGGAATGGCCCACAGTGTTCCTTCCTATCCTCTTGGTAGGACAACAGACACGACACATGTCCTCATTGGGAAGGATGGTGACCATCTGAAGAGATGGGCCCTTGCACATCTCAGAATCGGTCCCAGTCCCCAGTAAAAACCCAAGCTGTCTGACAGAAAGAAAAAATAAATGAGAGATGCCTCAGCACCCCCCACCGCGTCCTAATTTTTAATTGGTTTGGACACAGAGTCTTCTATCAAGGTATTAATATTTAATTGTTCTGTCAGGGCAGATCCTCCCCAGTCCGACAGTTAAAAATGGCTTGGGACAGAGGAGATGAGGTAGCGGGGTCTGAGGAAATGAGAAAAGTGGGGTGCTGGCCGAGAGGGATAATGATCTTAGAGGCAAGGACGAGCAGACATTGGCATTGGGGTCCCAGGAGGCAGACAGTCAATCCTTTTTGTCTCTGTTTGTTCCTTTCCTACATGTGGAAGCACACTGTGCTTTTTATTTATTTATCCCCTGCCCCCCAATCCATGAAGGAACTATGTTGGGATTTAGGTAGTTAGGTGTCATCAATGACATGTCTCTAAGGTAGGCTCTGGGGAAGGGGGGTGCTGGTTCATCCAACTTTTGACATTGTGACACAAACTGTCCTCTACTAACTTTACACAAGAGGACCCCACAGTCAAGTCACACACACACACACACACACACACACAACACGAGAGAGAGAGAGAGAGAGAGAGAGAGAGAGAGAGAGAGAGAGGATGTGCTAGGCAAGTTTATGGATTTGTGTTAGGTTGCATGGATTTGTTTTAAGTTGCGTTCACAGCTGCCCTGTGTGTAATTCTCAGGCCCAGGTGAATGTTCCCAGAGTGGATAGGGCATTCCTGTCTCTTGATGTTTCCTGCAGCGGATAATGCATTCCTGCCTCTTGGTTTCTAAGTTTGCGAAGAGATTAGTGGTGGTTTGATTCCAGGTCCCAACCAGCCCGTCATTCCCAGTGAAACTTGACTTTACATGCATGTTTCTTCAGAAACAGTGCCCACCATCTTGGCTGCCCGGTGTCAGAGTAGCAAAGAAAAATGACTGGGGAACTATTTTAGGTAAAAGCACTTGCAGAGGCAGCTAATAAATGTTTCATTGTGACTCATTCATATGCTATCAATAGGCAGGAAATGAAAGGGGCAGATCTAAATTCCATTCATTTTCAGTTTCTCCATTTATTCCTTCGTGTGTGTAGAGGTGCATGTTTGCATGAGTTACCTTGTGTATATATGCAGGGGCCCATGCATGTGTGTGGAGACCAAAGGGAAGTCTTGGGTGTCATTCTTCAGGTGCAATTCACCTTAAAACAACAACAACAAGGACAACGACAAAACACTGGTCTCACACAGGCCGGAGGCTCACAGCAAGTCCCAAGGATTCTCCCGTCTCCTCTCTGCCTCCTCAGTGCTACCACACCTGGCTTTTTAATGTGGGTTCTTGCAATTCAGCTCAGGTCTTTGTGTTGTCAAACAGCTATCTCCCTAGCTCTTATTCCTCCTTTAAAAAACCAACAGAAACCAAGAGGTAAAGTCAGCCTTCCTAGGTTCCAGTGGAGCAAAGGGCTTCATCGTTTGAGTAGACACGCCCAGGCCCTTCTTCCACATCCCACTCACTTTCAGTCTCTGCTGAACACAATCCCACCAAGCCTGTTGGTCACAGGAAATCACATTGAAGTGATGCTTCATTTTCACCATGCCCAGAAGAAACAGAGCTGGTTCTAATATGGCTTTCATCTCTCCAAGTCTGCAAGCCTGGGGCATTGGTTCTCTCTGAAGTGGAGTTTGGAGGTCTGATCAGCTGGGCTGGGCTGGTCCCAGCATTTAATGGGGAAAGGGGAATGAATGCTGGACAGCATCTCCTGAGCACTGGGTAGTGACCTATGGGAGAACTGCCTCTTCCCATATGACTGTTTGCTCCATTTGAATTCTTGATAAAATAAACTTGAACTCTACTTTGCTCATGGACATGGAGGATCTGCAACATATTTTTAAATGTGGGGAGTTTTCCAGGAATGCACCTGTTGTGGAATCAGGGAAAGACTGCATTTTGTGTTGCCCTGGAACTTTACTAAGATTTGTTTCCCCTTTGGAAAACACACACACACACACACACACACACACACACACACACCACAATGACAATATATCACTGCAGTCCTTGAGTTACCAATAATCATGAACACCTGTACCAAGCAGCATTTTGCAGCTGTCAGATTCTCCGAGATTCTATTTCTGCAAGCATCCAGCTGCTTTCCACTGGCTCCTACTGTCACCAGGTGAAACCTTTGCACACTAAAACATATGGCGGTTATGTCATATTAAGTGACTTTCTTTTTATAAGTTTGTACAAATTTATTCTCTCTGTGTGTGATATTTAATTCCAGGAATATAAAGGGGGGGTGCAGAATATATGTTACAGGCAAAGTATTGGGTCCAATCCAGATCCTAAATTGGTACTTAAATCAGTTGTACATTCCAAAACAGCATACATTCCCAGAGCTGTAGAGATGACTCATTGGCTGAAAATGCATACTGTTCCTGTTGAGGACCCAGGTTTGGTTCCCAGCACTCAAGATGGGCAGCTCACAATCACCTGTAACTCCAGGGGATACAATGTTCTTCCCTGGATTCCAATGGTACCTGTACGATCATAATACCCATCCAACACACAGAAACACACAGAATTTAAAAAACTGAACAGTTAAAATAAAAATCCCCGTGGGTAGTCAGCAATTAGATTTCCAAGCTCTACTCGGGGGTTTGGATACTTAGACAAGACTTGGGATAGTTTTGAAAATGCGATTGTCTGTAGAATCAAGCCAACTGTGGAGAAGAATGAAGGATCAGAAAAGCAACATGAGGGTGGTGACAGTGACAGTGGCTCTCAGGCTCATGGGGAACCATGGGACCTGTGACCGACTTCCCTGAATGAGCAGGTACAGTGAAACAGTCTCCCAGTTTTTCCGTGGATGCTTCAATCCTGGACCTCGTTAGCTGAGATCAGACTGGCTGCTTTGCCAGAGTACAATGGCTTAAGGAATTCAGGAGCACCAAATTCCTTTGCATGTCTGTAGGGAGACACCGTAACCACACCTCCTAAGGGCTGGCTACAGGTGTGCCTGACCACGCCTCAGGGCGTGGTCAAGGTGAGGTCAGGATGACGAGGGACAGATTTTTAAGGGGCTGCAAGCACATGGGAGGCCCCTTCTCTCTGGCCTCCCTGCCTTGCTGCTCCTGGCACACTCTGGCTTGCATTTGGCTGGTGTTTATCTGAATAAAGATATCTTAACCTTACAGACTACGGATCATCTTCGCTCTCGTTATACATGTCTTCACCATAATAAGAAAGGTCAGGATCATTGTTTGTATGTCAGTTAATAAGAGAGAGAAAGAGTAGCCAGGTGAGCACTTGTGACATTTATGAAGTCACAGATTTGGAAGTGATGATGTACTGTGACTGGAGGGGCAAGGTCATCTTTAGCCAGCTGCCATTACCAGGCCACAGTTCTGACTGTTTTTTCCCAGGGCACCCAATTCAAACATTAACAATGCATCACATGGGCCAATTCTGTTCAGTCCATGAGGCTGGACTGCATGAATACAAGGACTGCCCATCGTGCTTGCTGATTTTAAGTTCCTCGCGTGAAGAAATTATTCAGAATAGAAGCTGTGCGATGGCTAATCTTGGTTATCAGCTTGACACAACTGGCCTCTGACCTGTAAGCCAAATAAACTTTCATTACGATGTTGCTTGGTCACGGTGTTTTATCACAGCAACAGAAAGCAAACTAGAACATGGTGGATGGCTATAAACGTATCTCTGTATAGAAACACTTATAGGACTTGCTGGTTTTAAGCTGGTTTGATCAAAGTATCTCTCTTGAAAACAAAGGTATAATGAAAGTATGATGATTTTGTTATTCTGAAACAGATAGACTGAAAGTAGAAGGGTGTAACTATTAGTTTTGTCAACTTGAGTCACCTGGGAAGAGAGCCTCAATAAATTGCTTAGATCATGTTGGCTTGTGAGTATGTCTGTGGGGATTTTCTTGCTAATTTGTGTGGGAGAATCCAGCCCACTGTGAGTAGCACCATCCCCTAATAAGGGTCCCTGAGTTATATAGAAGCAAGCAAGCAAGCAAATGAACATGTGTTGACCAAAATTCATTTCTCTCTGCACTTGACAGTGGATATGATGTAACTAGCTGTTTGAAGTTCCTGCCCTGACTTCTCCACGGTTATGGATTGTAACCTAGAATTGTAAGGCAAAAGATACCACTTTCTCTCCTCAGTTGCATTTGACAGACATTTGATCACAGCAACAGAAATGAAACTAAAAGGGACAGAAGTGAGAAAACCTAGATGGTCTTTTGACATTTTTTTTTGTAAATTTTTAAAATTGTGGGCCATTTTCAACAAGCTGTGTTTCCTGAAAGCTCCAGGCTTTGGTAAATGCTTTCTCTACCCTTGGGAGCTCCTGGGTCTCTCCTTTTATGTCTCTTGTCTAGACAATGTCTATTCAGCACTGCTTCAAGCCTTTCTCCTTCTTTCACTCTTCAGTAAGTGCCAAGTGTTGAGTTGGGAACTGCAGGGCTGCAGTGATACAGGGCATGCCATTCTTCATTTTTTTTGTGTGTTGTTTGTTTGTTTGTTTTTAATTTTTCTGTGATCCAGTCACAGCATTAGGTGGAGGGAATCCATAGGCAATAAAAATAAAATGGCACACATTCCCCATAGGTCATCATCAATTAGACATTCCAGCTATGCTCATTCAGGGGTTGAGATACCTGAACGAGACACCATTCTTTCCCTCATTGAGCTGTCTGTTACCTGAATTTCCCTCTAGTTTGTGATTGGGATGTGAGGAGATGACATCATTATTCATCTCCTACCTCCATATGTGGAACTATCCTAAGGACATGGTGTCTGAGTCACACAAGATGCCCTCCAGTTGCCCAGGAAAGAAATACCACCTGTGGGAGAAGGGGC